CAGCGGTTCTCAGCCTGTGTGTCGCGGCCCCTTTGGGGGGAAGGGAGGGGTCAAACGACCCTTTCACAGGGGTCGCCTGATTCATAACAGTAGCACAATGACAGTGATGAAGTAGCAACAAAAATAATGTTATGGTTGTGGGGTCACCACCACACGAGGAACTGTAGCAAAGGGTCGAGGCCTGAGGAAGGTTGAGAACAAAATGTTCCGCTCTCAGCCTTTGTTTTTTCTTCTCTAGTTTGTAGAAAAGCTGACATTTCAGCCCTCGAAGAGTTAGACTCTCACGAGGTGTTTGGTTTAACCGCAAGGGCACCGAACTCCAAAGCTAGAAACATGTGTGATGGTATTTTTTTGTTGATAATAATCAACAAAAGGTACGGTCCATTCTGTGTGCCAGGCCCTTTGAATACATCATCTCACTGAATCCTAAACCAACTTTGCAAAGGGAGCTTTTTACAGCATGTTGCTGCTGCCCTCAAAAGGATTCCAACACGCTGGAATCCTGGGAAAGGACCCTACACACTGAGAGCGGCCCCTCTGCCAAGGAGGAAACACAAGCGTGGAGAGGCCAAGTCCGCTTCCTTGCTCCTCGTGGGTGGGGTGGGGGTGGGGGGTTTAAACTTGTCCCAGCAATGCCCTGTGGAGCGGCCTGCGTGGTTTTCACCACCACATGACCCTTGGCTACCATCCTCTTAATGCCTGCCTCTGCTATGGGCCTGGCTTTCTGGCTGGCAGGGCCCGGTGCATGGCTTCAACTTTCAACTTCAAAAGAAAATGGGAAGACTGACAACCAAATTATCTGCAACGTCTATGGATCGCCGTTAGAGCACCACGTGTGCTTCGTCTTGCGAACGTGAAGGGGAGTCAGGTACTAAAGAGCAAGGGGCAAACTTGACTAAACCAGAGAGCCCTGGCAAACAATCCCTGGTCTTATTAGATGATTTCCGCCTGGCCTCATTCAGGTGGCAGTTGCCATGGTGTTTTAGGGGCAGAGGGAGGGAGGGAGAAGATCAAGGAGGGTCATTCAGACCGAGTCTTGTCTGGTGTTTCTTTTCATAGTTCATTCTCTAAAGGATGGCAGGAACGTAAACGGCCAAACGAGGGAGGGTAGAACTTAGTCATTTTGCTTTTCTCAATTCCTCCGTGTTACACGCACGGGAAATTCAGGGGAAATGGAGTTT